TCTGGATAGGATAACCAGTTTGATCATGCCATTTAGATGGAATACTGGGAGAACATATCCAGCTATCTCCTAAAGTGGTTTGGATGGTTTCCTGTCCTTGATTATACTGTTAACTAATTGGGACTGGGGCTAATTATGATTTTTTTTTCTTTTCACCAATATCACTGTTAGAATAGGATTTGACAATGAAAGTATTTGTTCTATATTACTGTTCGAAATACTCTTTTATACTCGAGAAACTTGAGAGCAATTTTGATATCAAAAGTCATCAGTACCTGTTGTTTGTTGTAGCAATGCAAATTTAGTCATCAGTACCTGTTGTAGCAATGCACATTAGGTATGACACTCCAAGGAAATCTGTTGAAACCTGCCTTGTAGGACACATTTTCTTTTTAAAGTTCAAGAATTCATGTAAATCCCATCTTGGAAACAAATTTCACCAACATGATTACATAAATTAGTGAGTCAAAAGTGGAAATATATTTTCGATCTATGAGATCTCAATAGATGTGACTAACATAGGAGAAAAGTTCTTAATGACAAATCTGAGAGTACGAGTTCCTTGGTTAATTTTTTGGCTGAACTCAAATTCTTCACAATCTGAAAACATTTTCCTTACCCCTAGGGTTGCAAGAACTAATCCAAGCCACAAGAGAAATCTTATCTTGTGTTTGACTGCTTGAAACAAGTTGCTGGTTGTGAGTTCATTCTTTCATATTGTACATCTGTGTCAAATTTTGGCTTGCAGATGCTGTGATTCCAATCACTTGCTTCATACTGGTGTGCCTATTTGCACTACAACACTATGGCACACATCGCATAGGATTCTGTTTTGCACCAGTGGTTCTCACTTGGTTACTATGCATTAGCGCTCTCGGTTTATATAACATCTTTCGCTGGAATCCACATGTCTACAAAGCTCTTTCTCCATATTACATGTTCAAGTTCTTGAAGAAGACAAGAAAAAGAGGTTGGATGTCTTTGGGTGGCATCCTTTTGTGCATAACAGGTAAAGCCTAAGTTAAAATTTTCATGTTACAAGAAATGTACATACCTTAATACACTTGGGGCTTTTGAAGTTAAATGACATCCGAGAGGGTATGATACTTTTTCTGAGACCTTAACCAATGAACGACTGACTCTAATTCTACTACTTGATATTTTGGAGATTATCAGTAAGATCTAGTGCTTCTGATCTTCTTTACTGTGGCATTTTCAGGCTCAGAAGCAATGTTCGCTGACCTTGGTCATTTTTCTTATACTGCAATTCAGGTACAATTGTTTGTTTAATATTCCTTAGTCCAGTCTGTCACAGCTCTAACTGGAGCCAATTCTCGCTTACATTCTGGAATAGTTATAAAACCTTCTTCTTCTGCAGATTGCTTTCACCTTTATGGTATATCCAGCTCTAATTTTGGCTTACATGGGTCAAGCAGCTTTCTTGTCAAAGCATCATGATACCAACTACCAGATTGGATTTTATGTGTCAGTTCCAGGTATTACCATCTCTTATAAAAATGTTAGCATTTTGCAGGGTCTATGTACAAAGAGGAAGAATTTCTGAGAGAAGAATACCATGAATACACGTGTGAGAGAGATCTAGGCACGTCAACTATCATATGGAATTTCTTTACTGTGGGTCATTTAATAGTTAATAGTTCATTATCATTGTTTCAAGTGATTGACGTACATGGGATAAGCTTACTTCTTGCCTGTTGTTTTCAAGAAACCCAACAAAACTTGTTGAATCACTATCATCATATAGGACAAACAATATCCAAATGTCTCTTTTTCTTTTCCTGTTACTGGACAGCAAACAGTTCTTTTGTTTTGTCAAGAAACAGTTGTTTTATTTCTTTTCTTTTTTACTCAAACCAATGACAAGTATAATGCATAGGATAAATTCTTCAGTCTGCAAAGGAAATGGTAGCACTAAAATTTCATTTCATTCAGAAAGGCTTGAACATTACCTTGGGTGTGGCAGTTCAGGCCACCAGAACCGTGTGCAATGTACATGAATAACATTCTGTTTTTTTATTTTCTCGATACAGAACATGTAAGGTGGCCAGTCCTTGTTATTGCCATCCTTGCTTCAGTGGTTGGAAGCCAGGCAATCATCAGTGGAACATTCTCTATAATCAACCAGAGTCAGTCGCTTGGTTGCTTTCCAAGAGTTAAGGTCATTCATACTTCTGATAAGATACACGGCCAAATTTACATCCCTGAGATCAATTGGACACTCATGATCTTCTGTATTGCTGTTGCAATTGGATTCAGAGATGTAAAACACATGGGAAATGCGTCCGGTAAGTCCGCTCACAATGGCTGATTATATATACTATCAAGCTGTCAGTTTATTGTTGCCTGCAGACTGCAAGGCTGCTTCCCTTCTGTATCAACTGTTAGATACAGAAAATGCTAAGGAACATTTGTATTTAAGTTGGTTAAAGATGTAGATTGCTCCTATAAAGGCAAGCTTCTAACTATTTAGTATTCAAATTCAACAATACCAACTAGCTAATTATCAGCATTTGCCTGAACTGACAAACACTGACCTGATCAGCTGAAGGTTGTTTAGGAAATTCTCCTTTTCTTCTCTAAAGAGAACCAATCTCAATTGGAAATTGCAAATGATATTAAATTATGAGCTTTGGTTGGAAGCATTTAACATTTTGTTGTTTATTTTTTGACTGTTGCAGGATTAGCAGTGATGGCTGTAATGCTGGTGACAACTTGCCTCACATCATTGGTCATCATACTCTGTTGGCATAAACCTCCAATTGTAGCCCTTTGCTTCCTCCTTTTCTTTGGTTCCATTGAACTGCTCTACTTCTCTGCCTCCCTCATTAAGTTTCTTGAAGGTGCCTGGCTTCCAATCCTCCTTGCACTCTTCCTAGTCAGTGTCATGTTTGTTTGGCACTATGCCACTGTCAAGAAATATGAATATGACCTCCACAACAAGGTCTCACTAGAATGGTTATTAGCCTTGGGCCCAAGTTTGGGCATTGCTCGAGTCCCTGGCATTGGTCTTGTTTTCACTGACCTAACATCAGGCATACCTGCCAATTTTTCACGTTTTGTCACAAACCTTCCTGCTTTCCACCGCGTTCTTGTTTTTGTATGCGTAAAATCAGTGCCTGTCCCCTTTGTACCCCCAGCTGAACGATATCTTGTGGGTCGCGTGGGTCCCCCGGGTCACCGATCCTATAGGTGCATAGTCCGATATGGTTACCGTGATGTTCACCAGGATGTCGACTCTTTTGAATCCGAACTGGTCAGTAAGCTGGCTGATTTCATCCGCTTTGACTGGTTTAAAGCACGTGGCATAATTGATACGTGTAATGAGGAAGATGGCTCTCGATCTGGTGCATCATCGGGTGATTACAAATTGGCAGTGATAGGAACGGTGGGTTTCGCTGGCACACCAGCTTTTGAGATTGAGGAAGACCTGCAACCAGCAAGCGTATCTGTTGGCTTCCCAACAATAGACAGTGTGACGGATGCAATAGAAATGGAACCAGTCGGTGTCGTTGAAAGAAGAGTTAGATTTGCTGTTGACTACGAGTCTGAAGCTGATTCACGGCCTGAAATGGACATCCAACTCCGTGAAGAGCTTGAAGATTTGTATGGAGCTCAACAAGCTGGGACTGCTTTCATCCTTGGTCACTCACATGTGAGAGCAAAACAAGGATCGTCTCTTCTTAAGAAGTTGGCAATTAATATTGGTTATAATTTCTTGAGGAGGAATTGCAGGGGACCAGATGTGGCGTTAAAGGTGCCTCCGGCCTCGCTCCTAGAGGTTGGCATGGTTTACGTAGTGTGAGCACTTTTGTGGAAGATGAAGTCCTGCTGTTGCTTGTAGTTGTGGCTTGTATTGTAGTCTGCTGTTACAAACCTTGTCTAAAGCAGGTGTAGAAGGTAGGTCATCGTACAGAACATGGGATCAGATAGGAAAAATGTTTTGGGAAAACTGTCTCCCCAAAAAGCGAAAATCTACTTGAAAGTTCGCGAATGTGATAACGGAAATGAAAGGGGACACAGAAAATGGGGAAAAAAAAAGGTGGGGTTCCTTGCGGCGGGTCACTTATTTTTCTTGGTAACTCGTTGTGCATGGCTACGTAAGAAATTTGCACGATTGGTATATTCTCTGAAACCGTGGCCTATCCTCTAATCAGAAAAATGCAACAAAAAACATTTTTAAAATGTTCAACTTCTATCTGAAATTCTGTACTACCAACTATCGAAGACGTTCCAACATGCATGGTAACAAAAAAAATCTAGAAAGAAAAAAACTCTTATCTTTAAAGTAGGGCTGTAAACGAATCGAACCGCTTGCGAGCGGTTCAAATCCAAATTCGAGTCAAGTTTGATCAATATCGAGTTCAAACTCGAGTTTAAAAATACTAAATTCGTTAGTTCGCGAGTCGATTCGCACTCGATTATATATATAATTTTTTTATTTTAATAGAAAAATTATATATATCTCTAATATTTTATTATTTATTATAAAAAATTATTATTTTATTTATTTTTTAAAAATAAAATAATTATTTTTTATTTTTTTAAACTCGAGTTCGAGTTTGACATTTTGAGTCCATTGAACTCGAACTCGAATTTGAGTTTTATAAATTATGTTGAAACTAAACTCAATTAAATCGAAACTCGACTCGACTCGATGAACTCCTACTTCAAAGAAATCCCTTACTTTTTTATTTTTTTTTATTATCTTTCTCTCTTGTAATTTGTTATGAGGAAGCCGAAGTTGCAAAACTAAACGCCAGAGAGTATATTTCTTGCATGTTAGACTATGTCAGCATGCTTGATGCTGGCGGTTGACACAGTAACAATCGACAGGCTGAGGACTTTCCCGTTCCAGTGAAGGGGTCAAATGAAGCCTAAAAGGCCACGTCGTCCTCCCATAACCACCACGAGCTCCCCCGAGTGGCAAATATGCAATCTTTAGACGGTAGGCTACTCCTAAATCACCCAAAACTCCACCAAAAGACAAAGCAAAATCACGCTGTAGTACATCCACGATCACACATTCGTCCCTTCCCTCCCCCAGCCAGTCCCACTTTTAAGTCTTTTAAACTTCTCTTTAAGGATTGCAGCGTCTAAAAGTTCTAGCAGGAGAACTTAAGCTGATTTGAATTTTAATAGTAAGGACTATTTTGAGTCGTAATAAAGAAAGACTCAAAGGACTTTGAGGCTCGAACTGAAGGAAAAATATGGGGCTAAAAGCACTTCCCCTGTCACCCTCTCAGAATGGGTTCCTGGGTAATGCAGCGGTTGCGCCAAAATTCTTCAGATACCATTCTAGCAGAAGCTGCAACTTCATTGCTGTTTCCGCCAAGAATGAGAGCGCTAGCACCGAAGAAGAAGCGGGCAACACAGAGAAGAAGCAGTCGCTGTTTTCAAGTGTGACAGAAGCTCTGGACTTTTCTCAGGTCCGATCAGCTAAGGATGCCGAGCTCTTGGAAGAAGCTAGCGAATCTACGCGCTCAGGTGGACGCATGAGTAGGGAACAGGTGAATTCTGAGTATACTAGTCATCAAGTTCTACGGCTCTTCCTTAATTTAATTTCAGCTTGCTGATTAACCAACCTCCCAAGTTCTATTCATGCTGCTGCTGCTATGGAATGTAATTATGAAATATGAAGAAACTTATTTATCTTGCACTTCATGATTTGTGATGCTAATATTTTGCTTAGTGGTTGCTAACACTTATAAATGACCTCTTTGTAGTATGGGGCTCTTAGAAGGAAAATCGGTGGAACATACAAAGATTTCTTCAAATCCTATATTGAAGGTAATTATGAACACTTTGAAATACGTATTTCTTGATTCCATGATAATCTGTTTTCCCCACTATTTGAAGCTTTCAGTTTATCGTCATCTATTAATAATTATAAATAAAAAAAAAACAGTGGATGGACAATACGTTGACGAAGGATGGGTTGACAAAACATGCAAAGTTTGCAAGAAAGATACCAGGGGTGAACCAAGGCAAGTGGATAAATTCGGGAGATACGTTCATGTAGAATGTCTTGAGAAGTCCAAGTCCGGAAATTTTTTCACAAGGCTCTTCTCCAGCTGACTTCTGGAAGAGGCACATCACCCTCAAGATTGCCCCCTCCTCCTGGGCTTAGGTTTTGACTAGGAGGGGAACACCGCGCGATGCGCGGTGTAATTTTCAAGTTTGCCCAGAAATGTTCAATTATTTAAACTGAGATATTCAATATAAAAAGTTACGTGAAGGTGCATCCAAATGTTTGTAATTATTTTTTGTAATTTTATTAAGCAATGAAGAGAGCCACAATTTCAGTCTGGTTGCTAAATGACAGTCATTTTTGGTATGCTGACTGATTTGGACAGCAATGGCAATGTCATTAGTTTGAAAATAATATAACACTGTGTAATGCTGCCTTATATTTTTTATGTGCACCAAAATCTGTGACTTTGTAGCTCAAAAAAAAAAAAAAAAAAGAGAGCAGTGTAGTATTGCAGCAAGGCTTAGCCTTATTTTTAGACTCTGATACAACCAATCCACTATTTTCGTAATTGCATCAAATTAACCCAAAGACTGAAAGAAAGACCCATTACTTTGTAGTACAATAACCAAAATGGCTTCATTAGCTTGTAACTTCCAGAAATCTATGGAAAGCAAAAGAATTGTGCTCACATATCAACCGTAGTGAGATGAACTGCATTTGACCAAAAATGGAGGAGGATTACCTAATGCAGGTGTATCTTCTCAATACATCAATAGCATAGGGGATGGTCAACTACTCAATACACAAAAAAAAAAGGAAGTTTCACAGGCCTCGATGCAATTCTACCCTTGATCATTTGATGCATGTCAACAGCCAGAATCCCGTAAAAGGAAAGACAAGCACATGAGATAATGTAAAAGCCTGCATTTATGAAACTTACGACCAGTAGACTGCATTCCAGAGGTTCTCATTACACATCAAAGCTGTTCCAGCTCAAAAAGGAATATAAGAAAAAGAAGAAAAAAGAAATGCACAGTGTAGTATTGCATCAAGCCTTTTCCTTGTTATTAGAATCATACACTTCAAAATAACCGAAAGACCGAAAAATGCATTACTTTGTAGTACAATAACTAAAAAGGTTTTCATTAGCATATAACTTCAAGAAATCTAATGAAAATAAACTGTGCTTACATATCAACCTTAGTGGGATAAATTGTATTTGATCAAAAAAGGAGGAGGATTATTAATATAGGCCATACTTCTATCCTCTCAATACATCAGTAGCAAAAGGGATGGTCAAACTCTTGGCACAAAATAACTCATCCAGTTACACAAGATTTTAAACCAAATAAAAATATTATGATAACACCATCCACGTGAGATATAATGCATCAAGAGCTGACATACATATACAGCATGTAATGCAAAGATCAGATAGCTACAGTTAGTGCAAAATCTAGTATCCAGGGTCATACGCTTCAAGGCTTTGATCTTGATAAAGTTTCAAGGGTGGCCGATTCTGCTTCCCACATAAATAAACACGTAGTTTTGTTAATCAAATGGCAGAGGCATTCTTGAGTGGTACTGCAAAAATCCACTTCATACAGTTAAATATTAGTAACAATTACCACATTCTTCAAAAATATATCATAGATTTTTTTCTTTTATCATTGTCACTTCCATTTTAATCTAACTTTTTTCACTTACAGGAACATCAACATTAGCGCCTATCTATGCAATTACCTATATGGCAGACAAGTTTTTTCCATATAATTATCCCTGAAGGCAAAAGTATGGGGCAAAGGATTTTGTACAATTCATAGGTCGGGCCATACTGCACCAGTGTAGCCAAAGAATAAACGAACAATCTTCAATTACAATATAAAACATGCAATAACTACAAATGAACAATTTTCCATTACATTATTATATACACAATATAGACACTGTTGTAAAAAAAAAATTCCATTCATAGAGATGGTTATATTAAACCGAAAGGTGAAAGAAAAAAAGTTAGAATCAGCATCTTAAAAGTAGTAGAAGGCCATTATTTGCTTTATTATATGCCGATAATTTTAATACCTAATTCCATCATGAAGAGCCCGGTATCCATCTAATTTAACACCAAATAAGGACACAAAGAAATGGTTCGCAAGTTAAATAGTAGAAAAGATAATTAACAGAAACTTAATCATTTTCTCATAATTAACAGAAACATAATCAACAGAGACATCTACTAATTATTAGTATACAAGCACATCTATTTGACTAAGATATTTTTTTAAATAAAGTGTAAACAGCTTACTTGTCTAAAGCTGAATTATGCTAAAAGGCCAAAGCTTGGGCTTAGACTGACTGGTACTAAACGAAGCATTACCCCTATAAAATTCAACCCAAAAGTTAACAACAATAAACAGGAGCAAAAATAAATTGTTCATATGCAAAATGGAAACAAGTAGAAAAAAAGAAGGCTATAAAATGTTACACAAAGATAATCACCAAGTTTTTAGCCAAAGACATTGTGCTAAAATTTAAACAACCCATGAATCCAAAACTATATGGTCAAAGAAGGAAAAGAGATCTAGGGATTTTTTCTTCTAAATAATAGGTTTTTTTGGTAAACATACACCTTTCGTAACAGCATTTGTGGCCAAAGTGTTATCTACCAACCAATCTAACAAATTTTGCCACTTTAACCTCCTTTCCCACAATTAGTTGAAAATTATTCAAAACTATAATTAAAAACTTCAAACTAAAGTCATCAAAAGATGAAATAAGTTCAATTCCATTGGAAATTGACAATGGCAGAGACATGAAAAAGAAACAAAGAAAATTAACAATTTAAGTTATTTTGAAAATCCCAAGCAACAACTAAACAAGAGCTGGGAAATTTGAGCATATAACATGTCGAGTGATAACCAATGCAATCTTGATTTTGAGCTCCAAGACTCCAAATGATCAAGTAATATAGTACAGCATAAACTGAAAAGCATGAAACTTTTGCACTAAAAGCCAAAGCCAACAGATGAGATAACTTATTTATGGCTTGGTTCCTAAGCTTAAATGACACCACAAATACAGCAATAATAAAAAAACAACAGCCTCATCAATCCATTTTAGCTGCGAGGAGTAAAGACAAGTTACATTAAATAGCTATCAATGATACAGTCAACCAAACACAGTAGCTCTAGTATGGTAAAAGAATATTGAAATGGTCAAATAATAGTGAATTTCCCAAAGAATAGGAAACTTAAATGACCAATGCCTATGTTAGCGCCAAGTAACCCAAGGGTCTTTTCTTGAAACTCAATCTCTAGCTTTTTCTTAACATTTTAATCATTACAGTAATGACCATAATCATTTCAGTATCAGTATTTCAACTTGCACTTTTTCGCACACCTTTCTTCTTTTCTTTTACGTCCCTCCTCACACTGCCAATGCCTCTCATCCTTTTTTCAACAAGTTTATACCTATAAATATTGAAGTTCAAGAAATGAACCCAAAAGGTTAAAGATGAAATATACAAATTTATTACCAAGTAAAACTTACTCTAACAACAAAAGTGTAATCAATCTATAAAATTAATCAATGAAAAGAAACTAATGATTCGTTATTCAAAAGCCCATCAAAAGAAGATGACATTTTCACACTACAAAATAGTCTATCTAGATAGCCAAATAAGGAAGCTGACATGCTATGGAGTTCCAAATACGGATGTGCACAATATCTGCTCAACCAAGTCACCTAGTTTAAGGTATTCTCACATATCAATTAAACAGAACCTGAATTAATTAGAACTTATACTATCATTAAAACCCAAAAAAGGAAAAACAACAATAAAAGGTGAACAAACACCTACTTAAAGGCTATCTTCACCATTTGTTTATTCCTGGACCACAAATAAAGATTGCTTCTTCCTGTAGTGGATACCAGAAAAAGAAGAAAGAAGAAAGAAAAGGTCAGAGATAAAAATCTGACGGGGAAAAATTTATCCCTGAGAAATTGCAAAGGCAAAGTACCTTCGGTTGTGTAGACAATCATCTCTCTAGTCTTACTCTCAAACATATACTACTTTAGAAATATTGACTTGTCCTAAAAGATGCAGAGACAGAAATTGCATGAAGACCAGGTCTCATATTCAGTGAAAAAACAAGCAAAGAACAAAAGGATTCAACTTTTAACTGAGCAAAAAATGATTCCTGAACCAGCTTAGAGGTTTCTTCGGAAAATCTTTAAACTTCTCTGTAAAAGTCAAAGTGAAAAGTCTTAAACTCGACCCTTTTGTTCCATATTAGTTAATGTTATTTATCATTTAGCTTCTGATTTAACAGATGCACTTGATATAATTTTGGCAGATTTCATTTTGACAGGTAAAAGGATTCACTCAAAGCTAGTATTTAAGAGAAGAATATTAAAATCTAAAAACAAAAGGCCCAAAGTACCGTGAAAAAAATAGGAGCAGGAGTTTTACCACAATTTTTTGCCATCCTCCACAAATTTCTGTCATAGAGGGAAAGAGGGAAGGTCACAAATTGAAAAGGGAAACAAACCAGAGCAAAAAACTTGTGGGCTAAAAAGTTTCTTACCACAGAGGTTGTTCTTCCTTTTCTTCCTCACTCTGTAAAAATGCAAATTGTAATATGAAAGTATAAACGAAGTAAAAAGACGGGAAAAATCACAGATGAATGTGCGCCAAGAAAAGAAGCAATCAGTGTTTCTACAACAGGGGCTCTAGAATGCATAGGTGTTTTAGGGATTAAATGCTTCTAGAATGCTTTAAGAAACCACTATAACTGATACTTTCTGTCAAACAGCACCAGAAAAAATGTTTATAGAGGAAAACATTGATGTTCATGCCTATTTTTTAGCTAAAATCTAATAAATTCATCTTCCTTTCTATAAAAATAATAGTATAATCCAATAAAATAAAATATAAAATAAAAACTTCAAGTGATTTGAGAGTAGAGACCGAAATTAAAAGGACGAAGGTTTTATCGGCAAAAAATAAATAAACAAATAAATCAATAGATAAATAAAGCAGAACAGACCTTTGGAGGACAGAAAAGGATGGAATATATCCACAAGTACTTGCATTTGCATCCCATAAAAGTTTTCATCTTTTTCCTGCAAAGATAATACTATAAAAATTAGGAAATCGGATAAATAAAACATAAGAGACATAAAATAAAATAAAAAATCTTAAGATATAAAGATTAGAAGATCAAAGTTCTTATCGCTAAGAAAATAATTGACTAACAGAGATATTAAACCAAGCTTTATTAATTTTTAAGCAAATAAAGACCATTGGAAGAACAGAGAAAAGTTGAGTAACTCTACAAGTTATTTGTACCTCATCTCATCTAAAAAGATCAGAAACAAAAGCTAGAAAATTGAAGATCATCTGTGGCTGTTGTTGACCTTAATTTTTAGAGAAAACAATACAGAAAAAATCGGAGAGGTATGGAAGAATTGTTGGTCCGCCGGTGACTTCTCTCTCACCTTTTGCTCCGTTTCTACTTCCCTATTACACCTGCACACGAGCACCTGGAACTTCCCCTCTCCGTCGGAAAATGGGAAATAAGGTTACCATCCTAGAAAACAGGACTTGGTTCAACATAGAAATCAAGATGTGGGTGGATGGCTCTAGGCCTGATAGGTTCAGGAAAATTGTTAGGATCGAACCAGGCAGATCTATAAGAGTAAAGGCCTCAGCTTTCAACAGCGATGATGATCCGGGCGGCCCTGAATGTGTCATGCTACTGGTTTATGCAAATGGAAGTTGGACAGGAAAATACCTTCTTCCTCAGGACTTGTTCGCTTATGCGGCTGTCTTCTGCTATAGGAACCAACATGGTCAAGTCGTTCTTCGAGCCAAGAGAGCAAACTTCAACCTCTTCGCAATCGTACAGAAATCAGAAGAGGAAGAAGATAAGAATTTGATGGTAGTAATCCTCGAGCCACTAACCAACCTTCAATTGATGTGATTTTCTCTGCTACTGCACGTCTTAGATTGAATCCAGTGGATAATAGGTTGAGCTCAGCAACAAACAACGGTGCATCTGTTTTTTAAAAGAAGGGCAAAATCGTAAAACCATGGAAACCCACATTGAGCCCATCACTTTCGTCTCAGCAAGTCAGCACATTGAGCCACATTGAACTCAGCAGGTCAGCTGGTCTTCATTTTCGTCTTTCGGACAAAAAACAGTTGCACTTCTCCTCCCAGTGGACAAAAGCAAGAATCTGAATTCTCCTCCCAGCGAAAGCACGCGAGCCCCACGCGATGGACGACGACCCCCCAGCGAATGAAATGTAGCCACATCAGCACAACCAGCAAGACAAGAAGAATTACACTTCCCAGCAAGAGCACACGAGGCCCACGCGATTGACGGCCAAATCTCAGCCAAAAAACCGAAGGTCCTTCTTCTTCTTCTCTTGGACAAAAGCAAGAGAAGAAGAATTACACTTCCCAGCAAGAGCACACAAGTCCCACGCGATTGACGACCAAATTTCAGCCAATAAAAGTCAGCCACGTCAGCAGAACAACCACCACCCTCAACAATCCCATTCGCGCTTTTACTATATAGGTTGATTAACCTATTTCCATATGGACACAATAGTTGTACGCTTCGTATATTGAAATCGCAGTTCAGGCATGTTTGAGTGAAATCAGCTCCTAAACATTTGTTTTTTCCCTTCTAATTTTGGTGGGCTCTGCATGGGTTGAGGCTGGATGAACTTCTTAAGCATTTTGTAAGTTTCATTTTTGTGTGGAGTATCTATGGAGTCCAAACTTACTCTAATAATTTTAGATTCTTCACTCAGTCTAAAATTTTTGAATTGTGGCATGTTCATGCAATGATACGAAGGTTATGATACATGACTAACACAACGGAAAAAATTTGCATCTTACTCGAAGAACACCAACGATGAGCGGAGCCAATTGGAATTTTCATTAGATATATAGGTCATCCTAAATGTTGAGCATGTTGACCCCTCTAGGTGGTTTTGGGAAAAAAAAAAAAAAAAAAAAGGGTAGACACTAACCCTACACCAGAAAGGTTTGATACATAGTAAATTGTCTTCGTGTAAATTTTGGTATCAAAATCAATGCATAGAAAGATTGAAGGTGGTCCAAGGATTCAACTTAGCTGATAGGAACATTAGTCAGGTGATCGTGAAATCTTTGATTTGATTTTTTAGCCGTTCTCCTTATCCCTTTTATGATTTGGAGTCTTCGTTTAGGAAAAAAATAAAAAAATTAATGTTGTGAGACATAAAATAAGATCATTGTAAAAGGCACCAATGATATTTCTAAGCAACGTAGTTCATTAAGAAACACAATACTTATACAGCCCAAAAAAAAAAAAAAAAACTGAAGTGATGGAAATTCAATTTGACAACGTCAAACTAATTAATAAACCTAAAATAATCAAAGAAATTTACAACAATACAATATCCTTTTTAGTATTACTTGTTTAGCAAGAAAATATTCAATTACTTAAACTTTTAGAACAAATAGTTTTTTTGCCTATTAGTTAAAGTGAAACTCTTTCATTTCTTTTGAAGAGGATTGCAACATTGTAAAACCCCAAGTCTATACATAAACAAGCGCAAGAAATTAGGGCCCATTCATCGAACAATTCAATGTTTAGCAGTCTGTTAGTGGTGGGCTTTGTGACTCAACCACCAACATCATTCTAGGCCGAATTGGCGGGAAGACTCCCCCAAGACTTGGCGGGAAAAGATACCTATACTCAACAGTTTAGCGCGGGAAGCCGGCAACTGCTCTTGGAGAGCGTGGGATTTTGAGGCTTGAAAGAGGGAAGATAAAAACCTACAACTTCTTATTATATCAGAAAGCTAGCCAAAAAAAAGGAAAAAAAAATGGTTGGGTTGCCGTACGATTGCCTCGCAAACCCACTTGGAGCCGTCCGATTGACGTTCGAGAAGGCTGTGGCCTCAGGCATCGATCCGGCCACATTCGATGGCAAGGACTGGGGCGCCACTGACCTCTTTCGCGATTTCCTATACGAAAATGACGGCCTCTCGCAGGTCCTCTTTTTTATGTGTTGATTAATTTGTTGCAGTATTTGATAATTCTCCCAATACCCTAGGGTTTACTGTACGTGTCTCGTTTGGTTCGTTTAATTGCTTCAATCTGCTAAAAGCTTCTAGGGCGGAAACCTGTAAGGAGCAGTTTAATTTGTGATTGGGAATTTCTTCTTGTGTTTCTAGTTTGGCAAGTTAAATTGCGAAGGTCAGCATTCTTCATTTATAGCCCTCCCAATTCACCCTTACCTTTCTAATTCATGGTCTTAACTAGAAAGTGGTACTAAGATGGGAGTTCATGGTGTACGAGTACTTTCCACTTATATCGGATTTTACTTTGGTGGTCATAAAAATTGATTTAGTACGACTGTAGCCAATTTGTGTTCACTGGGATATTGAATTTTTAGGTGCCAACGTTAAATGATTCCACCATCAGATCGCTTCAGCCTAACACACTGGTTAAGTTCCGGGGCATGATTCAAGACATGTTAGGAAATGAATTTTATGTTGGTGCTTACAAGGTACTACTTGTTACTTATCTATTTGACATGTCTCTATGTAGTAGATAGAACGTTCTCATCTCTTAATGTCTTTGATGTTTAAACTTTTTCTTTTATTAAGGATGGGAGTGTCTGGAGAACAAATAAGTTCGCTGATCATTCCCAATTCCCCATTGGATCATCATCTGATATGCGAGTATGGGAACGCCGTTTACTTTATTGTGTGCCTGTAAGTTCTGTTCCTTTTACGTGTGCTTTTATGGTTTTGCATCAAATGTCACAGCATTTTTGAGTGTCAGTATTTAGGTAGAATGTTCCGTGGAGTTAGATAAGTAAGTTTAGTGGCCTTCTCATTTTAGGTTCCAGGACAGAACTCATGGACCGAGTCGTTCTGCCAAGCTGCAGTGCCTCCATTTGCAAACTCTACCTCCCCAGCAAGAGAGAAGCGCCAGAGGGAAAATGACGTGGACATGCAGGTTTCTTTAAACTACCTGGTCCTTCTTAGTTTTGTACATACGCTATCAACTTGGAGATAACACTTCATTGGAAGTTTGATATGAGCGCCTTAGTTATTTGATGCATGAATCATACAGGAAACATGATTATGCTTAGGAAAAGTTGTTATCTTATTTGACCTGAGTTATACTGAATTATTGGATAATTCCAATAAGAGATTTTTTTCATTGCCTTCACTTTGTTGGATTGTAATTGAATCTTATCAGTCATTGTTTTCAACCAGGATTAAGAGTTTTGTTACATGTATTTTACTTTGTGTGATTCCAGGATCCGGATCACGAGTTTCAGGATTCTCCATCTGCAAAAAGGAAGGTTAGTTAAAATCTGTACTTTACCTTCTTTCCTCAACAATCTTCTTCTATCTCCTCTCTATCCCCAATCATCCTCCCAATTCTACAGTTCAGTCATTCTACGTGTATTTCCAATATGAAATCTTTGAAGGGGATGATAGGAGCCAAACTTTGAAATCAGTTGATATTTCATATAATTGAAAATTTCAATGCTTATAATTGAAAATGGGCTGAGTTGACCAATTTGGTTTTCCTTTTTGTATTTGAGGTAACTAAGCTGTTTGAACTGACTTTAAGTTTATTTTGGTTTAATTTGTCTTTGTTAGCGAGAGGAAAGTGTTCCTTCACAGTCTTCTAATCTCCAGGCGAATAAAATTGGAGAAACCAGTTCTAATACTGGGTTGGTGCCTGATTTTGACGGAAATTCATTTCCCTGTCTACTGAAGGTGAATTCATTGCTATTAATTGTTAGAACTTGCATGTAGTGGTAGCAGCTACATGTTCTGCTCATGTTAATCCGAATTAAAATTAGTTTCTCTATCATCTTGAATTTGCAGATGTATGATTCTCCTGAGTCGGATTTGAAGCTGAATGATGTATTCGAGTTTATTGGTGTCCTTACTTTTGATACAGAGCTTAAAACAGATGCCGATGAGGTTACTGAACTGAATAACAGTTTATATGAAGAAGAATTGACTCATCTGCCCCCTAGCAAGGTCTTAATTGATTCTAAACTACCAAATGTTTCTCGCTTCTTGTTTGCCCTGTCTACTTTTCTCATCAAGTAACGAAACAATTAATAGTGTTAAGATGACTTGTGCAACGATAAGGAAAAAGTAAGGATCACTATCATTACCAACCTTTTTTATTGTATGCTTTTCAAAATTCTTTATGTGCTGCTTGTGCCACCAAATAGGCTCATTCAGCATCTCATTTCAATGGTCGATGGTTAATTTCACGGGGACTGTAGCATATCAATCATGAATGAAACCTGCAATGTCTTCTGATGATGATTTGCAACAAGCTTTTTTTCTGATAATGATTTGCAACAAGCTTTTAATCCTCCTGCTTATGAATAAGATGATTATAGCTAACAGCCATGCTTTTGAATTGCCATAGACAGCAATTAGAAGGAAAAGTTCCATCATAGATTGTCTTAAAGCCAACCATTTTTTTTAAAATTTTCTTTACATAAAAGGAAGTGAGAACAAACTGGTAGTCATGCACTAGAATCTGTGAACCCCAAAAGTTGAAATCCTGTTGCAGCTTGCTGACCTTAAAGAAAACTAGTCACAATTTGTCTTAACCAGCAAATGTTCATTTGATACTGTACTGCAAAACCAATTACTAAAATAAAATGATTTTTTCATACAAAAAATGACTGATTTTGCTGATTACTTCCTTTTGTAGGTGCCTCGTATCCATTGTCTAGTACACAGGAAACTAGCAGTTCATGACTTTCTTTCAAGTCCCACAATGTTGGAGGTGAGATGAGTGAGCTTGTGGTTGTTGTACGAGAGTAAAAAAGAACCTGCAAATTAGTTGCAATGCTATCTCCCCTCTTTTCCATCTTTTATCCTTCCACTCAATCTAACAAAAGGGGAAGCGAGAAATAAAGATGCTTCTTATGTCATTTGGTTATTTAATTCTGTAACCGAACTCTTGTAACACAGCCCAAACCATTCCTGGTGAAAGGGATAAGAGAAACACTGTTGGGGCATCTCACAGCTGTTCTTGGAAATGACGGGCTAGCAGCTCAGTTCATGTTATTACACCTTTTATCCAGGGTATGTTTCATAAGAGACCAAGTTTCCTAGTCCTTTTATTTATGAGAATATCATATTTGTCATCCTCTTTCCTTGTCATGTAATTTTTGGACATAAGTGGATGTATCCACCAAGTAATGTCATTGCAGGTACATGCTAGGGTGGATACAGTTGCTGTGGGAAAGCTTTCACTAAACCTTACTTGTTTAAACAAGGAAAGCATATCTATTTTTGGAAACCGTTTAAACCTCGCGATCAGGAACCTTGTACCTTTTGCACATTCTCTACCTCTCACCATTGATTACCTTAATTCTGTTTCTCTTGCCCCAAGAAAGGATTACCAGATAAACAGGTATTCTGACGTTATACTGTTGGCCTGCAGAATACTTCTCTTTGAAGTGCACTTCAATAACTCTTGAGCTTCAGTGTAATTTTGTGGTTCAATGTTCTCGGTGTCATAGATTGGTTTCTGGAGCTTTACAACTAGCTGAGGGCACTCATTTAACTATCGACGAGACTCAGTTACAAACAGGGACCCTTAACTCGACTGGAGTTGATAATGCAAGAGTGCTGAAAAGCTTGACGGAGTTGCAAAAGGTACACTGATACTTGGACTCATAATGTTATGGTTGTGTATTATTTTTTTCAGTCCGCTGTTGCATTAAGTTTCTCTGACAGATGTAGATATCTTTTCTGGTTATGTGTGCCTTGAGGAGTTGATTTACAATTTTTTTTCTTGATTTCAGATAAAGCTGGTTTAGATCGATATATTAGCTTAGCTAACATCTTCATTCCCTTTAACAGGTGGAGTATGATTTTACATACTATAAAATGGACATGGCTGCAGACATCCAAATGTTAATTCTTTCTGAGGGAAAATCTAATATCTTACCCGCTGATTTGGTGTTGCCTTTGCGTCCATCCTCGGTAGACTGTTATGGTGATGTGGACCCAGAACTACTGAAAGCTTGGAGATGGTACTTAGCTACTATGAGATCATTGCCACATTCCATTGAGCAGGAGATGCAGAAGGTAAGGGTTAAGTTAATTTTGATCTTCGTTTTCAAGTCCTCCAAGAAAGTGACGTGGATTTCCAAAATTTTTCTTGATTTGGTATTTTCTTTTCTGTTTAGTCATATATGTGTGTAATCTTTATAGTCGAAAAAGTCCCCAGTGGCAGTCAATAATGATTTCCTCATTTGCAGTCGTGGTTGGTGCCTACAAAATAAAAATAAACCTGCATGTCTGCGAAACTGCTAACAGTGTTTGAAATTTCTTTATTTATTCAGTGAAGTTGGGTTTAATTTGTTAGTGCAACTGTTTGCAATGTTCCAGTGAGGGACTCACAATTTCCCCATATGATATTCCTGTCCCAGTCCAATATCGACATACATGGAGACACACTTGTGTATATTGTGCAGCATCTACAGCTGACTCGTTTTTTTTTTTTGGTCAAATATCAACTTCAATATATAGATCTACAGCTGACTCGTTGCTAACACTGATCAAACATAATTGCAGGTGGTAGAAGATGACTTGGTTGCTGCAAGGCAAGCTGATAGAAGCTTAGGAAGCCAAGAACTCAGCAGGTTGGTTGCGGACTATGAACTTGCCCATATTTCCCTTGTATCCTTCTCATAGTAGGGTTGATGATGTGAGACCATTTTTTTGCAGATTGCTTACTATGGGGCGATTGGTTTCGGTGAGCTTTGGTGACACGTGTCTGTCATTGGATCATTGGCAGATGGTGAAGGAGCTGGAGAGACTGAGGAGGGAAAGGCTCCAGGGGAGTGTGTAGGTGAAGCAAGGGAACGATGGGAGAAGAGAGTGAAAGAGTGTTGCTACTTTTGTCAATCTGGTAGGCAATGTGAGAGGCGTTGTGATGAAGTAGTGTTGTAAAGAAGCTCATCTTGTAACTGTCAGCATCTAAATTCAACCTTATGGTAATGCAAAATGTAAAATGACTGACTAAAACTTGATTTGCACTTACTAGCACGCTGGAAGTTACATTACATTGTAGTATGATATCTTCGGGCAATTTAATTTAAGTATATAAATGAAGCGAGCGTCCTTTATATTTTGTTTTGTTAGAGTGTGTTTCCCCGGCCAATTCTTTATTATTATTTATTTTTTTGCCTTTGCTCCTTTTTCACATTCTTTTGACACCTTACTCTATTAAACACACGATTTGAATCATGAACTTTCTCTTACGACCAAGAAGATTCTAAATCTGTCAAGTCACTCTAGAGCTGCAACAGGAGAATGATCAATGATGTGCCTAAAGCGATAGTGAACCAGCAATGATTGTAGTGTAGGCATGACTTCCAAATGGTGATGGATCCAAAGCAAAGGACTAATAAAATTTCGTGAAGCAGGGCGGGGTCAAAAGCGCACTGCAGCAGAAGTGTAGTTTTCAATAGTCGTCCCGACTGCAGAACAACCGAAAACAAACAAGCCCGCGGTGAAATGACATAATGGTCATTTAAGGAAAAAATGGCCATAATATTGCCGTTTTGAAAAAAAAAAAAAAAAAAAAAAAAAGGAAAAAATGGCCATAAGTCTTTTTTTTTTTTCAATCATCACTTTTTATTTATATCATACTCTATTCTAATCTAACTAAGAGAGAAGGTCTAACTGAACCTACAGGGAGCCGATAGGGATAAAATCACCACCGAATCAGAAAAGTGCACTACGCATCCTTTTTTGAAGAACGGGTTCTGTTTGGATTAGCTTTTTTTTAAAGTGTTTTTCAAAAATTTTACTGTAACTGTGTATATGAAAAACTTTTACTGTAAATGTTTTTTAGATTGTTTTTAGAGATATATTTTAATATATATTTTTGAATATTTTTATAATTTACAATTTTTTGAAATATTTTTAAAAAAATTTTACACCACCCACCATCACCCCCTCCTTTTTCTTCCTCTCCTCCTCCCCTCTATTTCCTCCCCCCTCCTCCTCCTCCTCCCTCTTTCCTCTCCCTTCTCCCTTTTCTCCCCTCCCCTCTTTCCCCCCAACCCCAAACCTCTCTCTGGGTGGTGGCTGCGACTTTAGCTACTACTCTAACCACGACCGTCTTGGTCGCGACTTCTGATTGCGATCAGATTTGATCGTGACTAGAAAGGTTGTGGTCAGTAGAGGGGAAGGAAATTGGAGGGTAAGGAAAGGGAAAAAAGAAAGGAGAAAGGACAAAGAGAGAGAGGAGGAGGAAAAACGAAGAAGGAGGCGGAGAGAGTGAGGAAAGATGGGCGGAGAGAGAGAGAGGGTCGTGGGTGTGAGGGTCGTGGGTGTGGGGGTGGTGGCGGTAAAGTGGCGATTGTGGTGGTGGAGAGTGATGATGATGGGTAGTGGTCTATTTTTTATTTTTTTTTTGTATATTTGGAGTTGTTTTTGATATATTATATGGATATGGTGTTTTTGGAGTTATTTTTGTTTGTGTATTACTATCGCATTGTATATGAAAAACTTGTTTTTAAAAAATTGAGGAATCCAAAGAACCCACATAATGTGGTAATTGGTGGGAGGTGCCTTAATGGCTTGCTGGTTGTTGAAAAAATGGCCATAAGTCAATAAACTAGCATATTACTTATTATTTATTTCCTGCAACCAGGCACTTTTAACACAAGTGTTTTTAATAAAATTGGACTCTTTAAATTATAAAAATTAATTACCAACCATGCTAAAACTATTTTTTAATACTTAAAAGCGTTTTTCTTTAATGCACGGCAACTCAAACGGGTTCTCGGACAGTTTATTTAGCTTATGGGAACGCTTTCCTTCCTTCCTTTTGCTCCAAATCGTCAGTCAGTGAATGAGTGGGTCATGAATTTTATGATTGATCGCCGCCTTAAAAGTTAAAATCAGTTGGAAGGATGATCCCATCGAGACTGCGATGATTATAGGTGAAATCCCATAATCTGTCCTCCCCTAAAATTGGCCTCCCATCGCCACGATCTTTGCTCAATTCTCAACAAACGGAGAGCAGGAGGAGGAGGAAGAAGATGATGATGATGATGAAGATGATCGGTAAATCCCGCATTGAAGCATTCATGTCTTGGTTCGTCAGAGTTCATCCCCACGAGACATCCGCTTTGTTTTGTTCCACCTCCACTTTCTTCTTCGTACGCTTTTCTTCTCCATTCCCACTATTTTCTTCTTCTTCGACTACTATCTCTTTTATAGTAGTAGTATATGATAAATCTCAGTTAGTTAATTTGATTTCTTTTGTTCGATGAATTAAATTACCAGTGTAACTAACAATTGCAGATATTGGGTGCTTATTTCGTGGTTTTACCCTTACGCGACGAAGGGGCAATCTCATTAGGGTTAGGCAAATTGCCTGGCCTATTTGCGGGATCATTGCTCCTCACCTTGCTTGCTGCTCCCCTTTCCACCCTCATCTTCTCTTTGCCTAATCTTCCTAAAAGAAAGGTGGCTACATTCTTCTTTCCATTCGATTCACTTCAATTCTATCTCCCCCCTGCACAAGCACATGCTGCGACAACTAGTGAATTCAGTTTAATTTTTTCTTTTTGTTTATTTAGTTTCACCTTCATGTACTAATTGGATGTCGAGAATTCACTTCCTGGAAAAAGTTAAAATTTTTGAGTATATTTCTACTAGTCTATTAATTTATCCTTTTACATGATTAATAGTTGTTGCACATACAATGTGCTTTGATTTGAGTCTCCAGTTTATGCCATCTCTCATGGATTCTTAAACTTGCAGGCTCTGGTCTTCATCCACAGGTTTTTTAGTGCGTCTCTTGTTGTCTTCTTTATCCTCTGGCTTTCCTCCTCACCTGGAAGCGCAGCGTTCAATTTCAAGGTGGGGTTTTATATCAGCTCTTTAACTTCAGAACGTTTGACTTCTTCAATTTGAGATTCTTTTTTTTATCCATTTTTAGGGGTTTCTTCACATGTCGTCCACTATTAAAGAAGAACTCAAGGTTCAAGTTAATCAAGCCACTCCTCCATCTTCTGATGGATGGAGCAACAATGGATGGTTTTACAATTCAGTCAGAATTTCTTTGTTTCTCTGGGTATGTGTTTGCTTCTATTCCTTGTATCTTGGTATAATTGTGACTTTGGACTACTTGGTCACTCTTACAGGGGAAGTTTTACCTTCTTCATTTCTCACCTCAGGTTGCACTGCTTAATCTTATCACTATATCATCAACCTGGGCAAGAGTTATTGATGTGATGGATAGTGAGGTCAGTTAACTACTCTTTCCCAGCTTTGAGAACTTTTTTATGAGCAACTGATATGTGGTAAAAACTTCAAAGTAATAGCAGAAATCAAACAGTGCTATCGTTGCTGCTTTGATAACAAGCATCTACATCAATTAACTCTCTCACAAATCCAGTCAGGTTCAAGATTGTTTGGTTTTATTGGTGCTGGTGCTACACTTGGTCAGCTATTTGGTTCAGTATTTGCAACTGTAATGGCGTGGTTAGGACCATGTATGTCAATATTCCCTGCTTAGTCTGAAGATCTAGTTTTAAATCTATTTTGCTTCTGCCTCTCACTTTGCACTTCTCTTGATTGCTCACTTGTTCTTTTCTTCTTTTTTCCCTTTTGTGTTAAATTTTGTCCTTCTACTTTGTAACTATGAATCTGGGTACTTGTAGACTTGCTTCTTTTTGCCGCTATTTTGATGGAACTTGCTGCACAATCTGCTAAAGGAATTGACAAAGATATCTCTCGTCTTCCTGAAGAACAGTTTCCCATAAGGTTTTGATTTTATTCTTCTTGTTTCTGTCTCTTCATGACTTAGTTTATATCTTTGTTTTTTCTTATAACATGTTTTCTTATTCATATATGCATTTCTGTGGCTGTGCACATCTGTGTACATTTATCTTCTATAAAAGTTTTACGTACATGCACATGTGTGTGCATATAATCTTAACCTTCTTGAGGATTTGGTAGGGTATGATAAGAGACTTAACCTTCTTTTCTTTTGGGCTCTAGGAAATCTGACTTTGATCATCTTAATACGGCTAATGAACAGACTGAACCTGCTGATAGACGATCTTCCCCTAGATTATCTTCTACAGCAGCAAATCCTCAGTTCTTGGCTATATTAGATGGACTGCGCCTGATACTCGCATCGAACTACTTGCTACTTGTTGCATTATTCTTGTGGCTAAGTGCAGTAGTCTCCTCTTTCTTTTACTTTCAGGTAAAGGATGCCTGATCATTTACTAAAGAATTTGAGGGTTTTATTATGTTTTTTTCAGCCTCTTTTTTGTGTTTTTTCTTTCATTATCTCTCTCTCTGTACCCCTCCCTCCCTGCCTCCTCCTTTATAGCTGCGTCCGTGTGTCTTTATGGAAATTATTTTTGGACAAGGCAGAGGGATTGAATACAATGACCAGATAATATTTCTTGAGACCTTTTCCTCTGACGGATGTTATCCGGTTCTCTTCTGTCTGCAGAAAGTGACTGTGATTGCCACAAGTTTTACAAGTCCCGTTGACAGAAGAAGATTGTTTGCTCAGATCAATAGCTTTATTGCTGTTTTTATTCTTGCTGGACAACTTAGTTTAACGGTATGACACAATTGTCCGATTGGTTTTTGGTTTGGTGCTCTTGGAATTTCCTCTGATTATCCAGATGGGGGCCTTTTCATGGTTTTCTTTGCATTACCTTCAACACTTTTAACAAATTTTCTCTGAAATCACAGGGTCGTATCCTTACTATCTTTGGGGTTACAACTGCTATATGCTCTGCACCATTTGTTGCGATCATTAATTTAATTGCTATAGCTGTGTGGCCGACATGGATTGCAGTTGCTGTGTGCGAAACATTACGCAAGGTCTGTTTTATTTACCCGTTGGATGGGGAAAAGTAATAAGGAAACACGTAGCTGTACCTTTTGTGTGGGCAACAGTGAGGGAAGCTGGATTGTGGCATTAAAGTTACATTAGTTGCAAACTAAATGTATTATCTGTTCTTTTTGTTGCTTCAGGTGGTTACATATGTTGTAACCAGGCCTGGAAGAGAGCTGCTTTTCACTGTTGTCTCACAAGATGAGAAGTACAAAGCAAAGGTATTAGACATATTACACAAATTGATT